TGATAAAAATAAATCAAATTTTAAATTTATTTAATAAAATATTATTTTGTATTATCTAATAAACTATTTGTATTAATTTTATAATATAGATACTTTGCAATAAAAAGAGAAAGAAAATTATTAAAAAAAAATATTTTTACTTTATAAATTAAATATTATTTTTTAATAAAATAAATTCAGATTTAATATTAATTTTAAAAATTTTCTTTTAGTAATTTTTCCTTTCTACTATAAAAAGTTTATATAGGCTTTTTGTAATAAAAAGAAAGGAAACTATTAAAAAAAAATTTTTTTTGTTTTATAAGCTAAATATTATTTTTTTTTTAATAAAATGAGTCTAGATTTAATATTAACTCAAAAAAATTTTTTTGGTAGTTTCTTCCCTTTTTATTGCAAAGAGCCTATATACTTAAATGATATATTTTTATTTTATTTTTTAATATGTTTCAATATAATCTTTTATTAATATATTCTTTTATAATAAATAGTTTAATATTTCTAATTTCTAATTTAATTTGTTAATTAATATATATAAATTAAAAAATCAATTATATTTTTTATTATAAGTTCTATATAAAATATAAATATTAATTTATTTTGTATCTTATTCTAATTATAAATATTTAATTTTTTATTAACAAATTAAAAAAGATATATTTAAATTTTTAAATAAGATTTTATGAAAAAAATTTATGTTTTATAATGATTAATTAAATAAATTAAATAAATTTAAGTTTTTATTTTTTTTATATCTAATAAATATTAATAATAAAAAAGTTATTAAAACTTTTATTTCTTTTTCTTTTCAAAATTAATAATTAATTTCAATATTATATGTTATAGATATATTCGATTTTTTTATATTTTTATTTTATTTTGAAATAAATAAATATTAATTAAAAGAAATTTAAAATTTTGTATTTTTCAAAATAAAATAAATAAAAAAATTTTAATTTTATTAGATTATTATTAATTAACTAATTTTTTTAAATAATGTAGATTATTATTATTATGATTGTTAAATTAATATATGATTTTTTTTATTTATTATAAAAATTTTTATTTTATAAAAAAAAATTTTAATTTATTTTTTTTAAAAAATATTAAATGAAAATTTTAAATAATAAATATCAAATATAAAATTTAAAATAATAACATTATAAATTATAAATTATTTAGCAAAAATCATCTATTAATCAAATATCTATTATTTTCTTTGCGTCTAATTTTTAATATATTAATAAAATACTAATAATTAAGATTACTTATTTAAACTTATTTTGAATTTGACAAAACGTTTAATCTTTAGTTTCACTAATATTTTAATATAGTTTCATATTTTTATAAACTTTGATATAGTTTTATCTTTTCTAGAATTTTGCAGATTTTTTAATAATGTTTTAATATAATTGCTAAATTTTATTTATTTTATTTAGACAATATTAATCCTATGCTCAACCGTCGAACTTAAGGCAACTATAACTTAATAATAGGGAGTAACGAATGAGAAACTATTAAGTTACTGTGAAATAAGTCCTATCACAATCAGACAAGTAAATAACTTTAACAACTTGTAGACATGATAAATACAATTGACACGTTGAAGAATTTTTAATATGTGTAGTTTAGAAAGAGATTCCTTTATTATAGAGATTTATATCCTTAGCAATCCTTAACCTTGGATTCTAAGTCTTAAATTTGAACTATTAAGTTATCACTATTATCTCTGCCCTTTTACAAGAACAAATTTCTATCCTATTTATACAAAAATACAATTATAAGAAATTGCTATCTAATACTAAACTATTTTATAATAATAAAATAAATATAAAAGATAAATTACAATTTAACGATAATAATAATATAATAGATAATAATAATAAATATAAAAATAAAATAAAAATATTAATTAAGTTAAAAATGCTAATAATGTTAATAATGTTGATCATTCGTTAATCTTTGTAGTGCAATAAAATTGACTTTACATGGTATCAATGATATGCAAAACCTCTAGGTTTTATCCAGCAATCTTACTAATAATAATATATAGTATATCATATATAAAAATAGCTAATATTTTATAATTACAATTTTAGCTTTATTCGTTAGTTAAAATTAATCTATTAACTAGTCAATTGATCATTTACTTTATACTGATTATTGACTAATCATTGATCAACTATTAACTAAGTATGATTAACTATTACTATCTCTATATAATAATAAATATATTATATTAATACTATTTTTCTTTTTTTCTAAATAATTAAAGTAAATATAATTGCATCATTATAAATATTACTTTTTATAATTTTATTATTAAATATTTATTTTTACAAACAGAGAATCTATAGTATTTTATATATTTATTAATTAAATTATAAGCAGTTTTTTTTGAATATAATTACTTACAATATAACTTTTTTATTTCTTTATCTATTTAATTATAATATAATTATGATTAATATAAAAATAGTTAATTATTTAAATTATAAATATATAAATATAAATATTTTTAAAGTTACTTTTATTTAAAATTTTTATTAATAAATTTATTCAAATTTAATAGTTATAAATCTACTGTTATATTAATATTTATTTTTTAATAAAATTTATTAAATAAACTATCTATAAAAAAAATCAAGTATTAATAAAAAATGAGAATTTAAAATAATAATATATATTATTTTTAATCTAAAAAATAAAATAATTTTCTATATTAAAATTAATTTTTTTATTATTTAAATAATAATTAATATAAATCTTTTTAAAATTTGTTTAATTTAAAATAATTTTTATTAATTTATTTATTATATAAATTAAAAATTATAATTAAATTTAATTTTTTCATTCTATAAATTAAATATTAGCAGTTTTTAAATCAGTTTTTTTATTAATATAATATTTTGTAATATATATATGAGTCAATCAGAAATTAGAATTTAAAATCATATATTTTAGCTGCAAATTCTACTATTTTTTCTAATAATACCTTTTATAAATATCTATATATCATCATAATTTTTATGCATATTTTCAAATTGCAACTAAAAAAATTGAATTTAATGCTTAAGGAACAATTTGTTATAATTTAACCCATATGTAATTGTAATATTCTTATATATATATATTTTTGCATCATAATATATTTCTATATAATTTAATTTATAATAATATTTAAAATAAAATATATATTTATAATCACATTTTTTAATTTTCTCTTAAAATTAAGATTTTTGTACTAATGATAAAATTATTTTTTATAAATTTATCATCATTTATTTTTTTCAATTTCAGTTTTTATAATTAATTTTGAATAAATTTAATCTAGTATTATCAATATTAAAATATTAAAATTCTAATTCAAAATTCTTAAAGTATAAGATATAATTTATTTATTTTATGAATTAAATTTTCAATTTTATATATAATAAAATTTTTTTTGCATTTTAAATTTGTTTCATTTTTATTATAGTAAAGTTTCTATTATAGAGATTTATACTATAATATTAAATAAATAAATTTGTTAAGTTTATTAATAAAAAATAATTACAAAAATTTATATTACTTTTTTAATAAATTTTTAAAATTATAATTAAATAATAATGATAATTAAATTTATATTATAAATTTATTAATTTATTTACTATTAAACTTATTGCATTATTTCAAAAATAAGTATCTAGTGACAAATAAATATTTATTATTTGATATGACAAATAATATAATAAAATATGAGTAACAAATAAAAAATTATCATAAAAAGGAGTATATTATGAGATACTTATTTTTAAAATAATATAGTATATTTTTTAACATTGAAATATATAATTTAAATTTATATTAATTATTAAAATATTTTAGTTTTTTTATTTAAATTATTAATTAGAATAAAATTTTAAATTTTTATATGATTTTTTAACTCAAACTATTGATTATAAAATTATTATAATTTATATTATTAATTTTAGATTAATTTAAATATTATTAATTTTTAGTTATTTTAACTATTTTAATACAGTTAACTCTTTTTAAATGTATCCTTTTAGGATCATAATGAAAATTTTAAAAAATATGTATTTAAGAAAATTTTATATGAATTCTATATGGTTTAAAATTGAATAAGAACATATATTTAGAAAGAAAATATATAGTATATGCATTCAGAGAGAATGTATTTATAGAGAATTAACTGTATTTTAATATTATTTTAATCATATTTTTAATTATTTCTTATAAATTCTAATATACTTTATAAAAATTATATTTATAGATATTTTAATTATTATTTTTTCTAATATTATATGTAAATTAGATCATAATAACATAAGTTTTTATGTATTAATCAATCTTTTCTAAATTAATATTATAATTTTTTTATATTATTTAAATATTATTTATATTAATAAGTATCTTATTTTATTAAAAATTATTTTTTTTAAGTATCTATTTAATACTAATTAAATATATATTTGTTATTTTTATTAATATATCAATAGTTATATATATTAAGCTTTATTTCTTCAAATCTAAAATTATTTTTCAACTTTATAATATTATAATTTATAAATTTATTAAATAAAATTATACAATATAATATTTTACATAATAGTATTACATATTATATAAACTAAATTTATAAATAAAAAATATTAATTTAGATTTTAATTATACATTTTAATCTTAGGTTTACAATAAAAAAATACCAATATATATTTTAACTTTAATAAGTGTAAATTAAATAATAACAGCTTTTTTATTTTTGAAATATTATTTGTTAGATAATTATATAAATTTATAATAAAAATAATAAAAATAAGAAAAGTTAAAATATTATAGAATATTCTATTTATTTAAATATAAATACTTTTATTATTTTTATTTAGATTTTTTGTTATCTATCATTTATATGAAAATAACATTTATTATACATCATTTTTTTTTTAACTTAAACCTAGATATTAAAATAATGTTTAATATATCATTATTAAAATTTGATATTAAACATTATTCGCCCTAATATCATTTACTCTTTTTTCACATCCCTCTGCATATCGATGCCAGCACAAAATTTCTTCCTGATTTGCCTTTGCAACACGCAATCCGGCGCGAATCGCTTTTTGATACAATTTGGCTAAGCTCTGGAAGACAGAAGTACCTACATCATCATTGTCATCGACTTCAGCTTGCTCACCCTTGGCAGGCGTAGATAATTCTCTCAGCAGGCCCTGGAATCTTTCTTGCTCGCGGGTAATCCTTGGGGAGGTTTGTCTTGACGAATTTCTACTTGATTGGGTTTCGTTTTCTTGTATGCTGACATCATCTGCCCTCTTCACCATCTGGATTTCTAGAAAAAAATAAAGAGTGATGAGACACCTCTGCTATTTCGTCAGCATTAATGCGAGTACTTCGAGTTGGGAAGTATCTGTTTGAATTTCAGAAGTGCTGGCCGAAGGTTCGCAGTGGAAGAAGATTCACTGGCCATAGTGGTGGTAAATTGTAAAGAGAAATGAAATAAATGCTCTTATGCGTGTCTTTCACATTCATCTCCTACTAATACACTTTTCCCCTTAATCTGATTGCTCTTTGATCTGCGGTGAAATAATAGATGCACCTATTACGCTAGGTCCACAGAGATAGTCGCAAAACAAAGAAAATCCCAGAGCTTCGCTGAAAATCCAACTTACTGATCACGAATTAAGATTTCGTCCCTAAATGCCCTGCATTAGTGTGTGTATGATCAAACTATTAACATAAATAATCCTTATCAATTCGTCCATTACTACTCTACTATCCATACGCGAAGAGTTATCAAAGCAAGCTTTTTATTTGCAATACATTGAATAATTACAAGTTCAGGACTTTGCTCTGCCGAAAGGCGCTGGTCCTAAAGGGGACCCGCTTCGCTTGATACATGATAGCCTATCCTATTCATTGCGTCTATTCTACTTACTGGCTCTTGAAATGGAAACTATGTATTAGTTGCAAGTTCTGAAGACGCCTCCTTGCGAATGCTCAGCCTTAGCCGAAAATTAATTACGTATTATCTAGTCCGGCACTTTACTAAGTAAGTTTCGTCTCCAATATTTTCACCGGGCAGGTATAGAAGCGAAATAAAAAAAAAAAATGTGAGCACGTTGCACAGCCGGCAAGAATTTTCCCGATATCATACTGCGCATTTCAGGTGATCGTTTCTCACATGACCGAACAGTGCTACAATCGCGAACTTTTTTTGTTCATCAATCAGAAAATTACGCCACATCAGTTTTTTAATAAATACCGAGGCAATCTAATGAGTAATGTACTGATAAATTAAATTCTTATTATGATTACATCAAGGATAAGGATAATTGATATAAAAAACGAAACTATTAAATTTCTTTAAAAAACTTCGAATTATATTTCTGTAACTATAAAGATGTTCAGAGCCATTTTCAACCGCACCTTACGTTCAAAAGTTCCAATTTCGAAGACCCCTGGTGGTGCGTCTTTCATATATCTTTGCTTTATTATGATTTATATTATTTATTTTTTTTCATTTTCTATTTAGAATTAAGAAATACTTCTCTTGGTGCTACCTCTTTCTCCAACACTGGTTCTTGCAATAAATCACCATTTGGCGGTCTTCTAAATGACCTTTTATTTTTTGTTATCTGTTGTGTTTTTATAATGTTCATCATTTGCTTGTCTATTTAGAGTTCAAAAGACATGTTACTTCTGAAAACAAGATTCTGGAGTCACCTCAATGGAACAATAAAGTAGATTTTACTTTAAAAGAATCGGTATTACACGACATCGATAAACGTCGAACTGAGGCTATCGAAAATAGGATCACCAAGGCCGAGAACAAGATAATTTTCGCTTTGGTTGGTTGCACTGTTTCAATCATTACTAGCTTTATTAGCTTGAATAGTACTTCCAATAAAAAGGAAACTGATAAAAAGATTGTTTATGTGAAAATACGAGACTGATATAATTGCTGATGTCAAAATGTTCTCGGAAGAAAACGAGACTGATAAAAAGAAGTAATCTCCTCTTTTCTACATTAAATCAGAATAGCTTAGCTTATAAACGAGAAAAAATTTTTATTAATACAATGATAGCGTGATACAACACGCAAAAAAATAAATACAAATCAGGTCTTAGCCCCGTGATACATCACTACAAAACTACGTTAATACATCGACAACTATCGGTTTGAATTTTGACCTTTCTTCCTTTCTTGTTAAGATTATAGAAAAATAATCCTTTAGAAATTATATAAATAATTTGTCAATAAATATTAGTAAAAAAACTTTAAGTACTTATTTTTATAAATAAGATTTCTATGGTTGCATTAGTATAAGAAAACCTTATATAAGTAAAAATAGAAGTAAAAAGACTTGTTTAGGCTAAATAATAATAATAAAAGAAGTGAATAAATAAATAGGAAAATATCATTTGAAGTGATAAATCCAAGTGTGAATTATTTAGAGAAAATGGTTAAAAAGGTGAATTTAGAAGCAATCTTATAAATATATAATATAAAATGCTTAATTCCTATAATAAATTTAGGTTAATAAGGAATAATAGTATAAAAATACTTCATAAAACATAATCTTAATCTGTTAGTAAATTAAAAGAGAGGTAACTGCTACAGTAAGAATGTATTATAAAATTATTTAAAACTATTTATAGAGGCTTTAGACAATCAAAAAAATTATAATAATGCTCTTATATATACTGTAAAGATTATTAAAATTTAAAAAAAGAAACATAATATGAATAGTATTCTCTGACTTATATAAAGTTTGAATCTTAATCTAATAAAAAATTTATAAGATAAATTAGAAAAGTAAGTATGAATATATACTTCTTTACCAAAAAAATAGAAAAGATTAATAAGAAATACTTTAAAAGAAATAATTAAATCTTGATATTAATAATATTAAAATTTTATTAATAGTATTTCTTGTTAAGTTACTACTATTATAAAAAGTAAAAATCATCTAATAAAATATTAATAAATAAATAAAGTTTTTATTATTCAAATAAAAGTTTTATTAATTTTAATATAATAATAATTAAGTAATTTAAAGATTTATTATAAGTAAAAATGAATACTGTAATTAAAAAATAACACAATTGAGTTGTAACTTGTGATGCAATTAAATTTTCTTATGATGCAATTAAGTTGTAACTCAATTAAAATTTGAAAATAATTATAGAGATCATTTTTAATTATAAATATTGTATATTGATATTATTAAATTTTAAATTTTTAAAATATTATTATTAAATATATTTAAATATAATAAATTTATTTATTTTTTTTATAATTACTATATATTAAAATATTAAAATTTTTTGATATTTACTTATTAATAATTAAATTGATGTTAATTAATTTTTGAAATTATATAAAAGTTTAAATAAAGCAAATATCAGTATAAATATTAATTAAAATTTAACAATAGTTTTCATTTCTTAGTCAATATTTTATAAATAATTAATATTATTATTTAAGAGATAATACTTTATATATTATGTTTTTTTAAAAATAAATATTTATTAAAATAATTATTTCTATTATTTTTAGTTTTTAAATAAATACTTTTAATAATAAAATACTTAAAATTATTATTTTATAAATAATTATTTTAATAAAGTTTAGCTATATTTATATTATATTTAATAAAATTGTTTAAATAATTTGATTATTTCAGTTATTTTTTATCTTTTGATCTATATTTATGTAATATTTTCAATTACTATTATTATCTTTATGAATTTATATTATTACTATTATTATTTTTATTATTAAAATTAATATTATCATTATTTTACTATTAAATAAATACTTTTATTAATATTACTTTTATTATTATTATTGCTATTATTATTAATATATTTATAACATGATTAATTTATCAAATTTGTTTAAAAAATAATATTTTTATATATTTTAAAAAACTTGAAATAATTTCATCAAAGATTACTATTTAACTTATAAATAAATTATATATAATAAAAATTTTTTGTAGTAGTTATTTTATAATACTTTTAATTTTCTAAATATGTTAGTTTTTTATAAATTTCTTTAAACTATTTATTAATTATAATATTAAGGGATTAATAGATATTAATTAATTTATCTAATATATATATATTTATGAAACTCAATTTTAATTTAAAAAAAATTATTTATTTACATTATTAATTTTTATAAAAATAATCTATATTTATTTATTAAATCAGTATTTATTTATCTATTTTTTTAAAATTAGATTATTATATTAAAAGAATTACTTCTTTTATAGTATTAAAAATACAAATAAAAAACAATTTTATTTTATCTATAATAATAAACAAATAATAATAAGATTTCTTAAAATTTTCTATATTTTTTATTTATTTTTCTTAATTAATCTATAAAAAACTTTAAATCATTAAATTTTAATTATGCAAATATAAGTATTTTATAATAAAAAGATTTAATATTTTAAAAATTCTTTGAGTTAATATTAAATCTGAATTTATTTTAATAAAAAAAATAAACAAAAATTTATTTTTAGATCTTTTAATGCAAAGCTTTTATATTTTAATATTATAAAACTGATTCTTATTATTATTATTACTTAAATATGAATAATTTTTAAATTTGTTATAATATTACCAGCAAATAAATACTATATATTATTGATATAAATCTTATTAAATTTAAAAATCTATTTTAGTTTTAAAGTAAGTGATGAATTATCAAAAATTTTAATAATAAATTATAAACTTTTATATGTTTTCATTAGTAAGGTATGTTAAATTATTATAAAAGACTAACATTTTAGGTTCTTCTAAAATTTCTAGCATTCTATTTTGTATTATTGCATATCTTTAATTATCATTATCTCTGTATATAATAATAAATTTTTAATGATAAATTTAAATTAATAAAAAATGTTTTATGTAATATGTGTATTTCTAGTTAAAGAATTTGCTTTTAATATCTTTAATTCTTACTTTGAGAAATTCGTGTAGCCTACATGCATACTATAAACAAATGTTATGTCAATAATGTTAATGGAATACGAACTAATAATAATAATAATCGCTGCATACAAAGCACATAAGCTTTATTTGTTAATTTTATTTTATTTTTTTATAAAAAAGAAAACGGATTATTTTAACAACTTTGGAATTAAGTTAGTATATTAAAAGAGTTCAACTTTTTCATATAAATTTATGATATAGTATTTTTTTTTTAATTCTCGCAGAATTTTTCAACTTTAAAATAAAGGATTTTAAACTCAAAATCATTCTAATAAATTAAATATTAATAACATTAAATGGTTTAATTGAAATTTTGAAGCGTATACGAAAAACTTTCGAGTGTCATAAGTCAAATAGCCATATACTGTATAGTCGATAAAAAAAATAATACTTTTTTGCTGAAGTAACTCTTAATCTGAAAATTTAATTTCTGCAAAATTCAAGTAATCTATGCTGCGATATTTTTAAAAAAAAATTGTCGGGTCATAAACTTCAGCTTCATGATAGCAAGAACCTTATAGTTTTAATATAAAATCTAATAATTGGTGATTTTTATTTTAAATTCCGTAATTTGTTTTAAGGTTATATTTATACCACTTCCCGATTCCAAGTTCTAAAGGTCGATTGTTTATATTTAGAAAGTCAATGAAAAGAATTGAAATGGCAGAATGATTGTTCCTCGCGGGTTAACGAACTTTTTCATTTCTACATAAAGAAAAGAAACGTTTGCGGAAAAAAAAAAAAAAAAGTAACATGGACTTCGGTCACACCAAATTAATTCTCGAATTTTTCGTTGAAATAAGGCAAAGATGTGTCACGCATTCTAAATGATAACCAATCGAATCGGATATGTGTTACATTGCATTATCCATTTTCATTCAATTTTCCGCGTTAGACGAATATTTATGATGAAAGGTAAATTATATCATTGACTTCATTACTTATTCATCATTTAAATGAAAGGAACGAAATCAGGGAATATTAGGTGCATAAAATGTTATAAGAGAAAGGAAATTTAAAATGTCGCAGTAATATCCATTACTTGAAATACATCTGACCATCATTAAAATAGGTAATGATTTGATTGATGGCTGAAATTATGAATCCTTTTGAATCTCAAAATGTCTATTGTTTGGGCAAAAGTTTCCCTTCATAATGTAACGCCAATCATTTAAGGAGTGAGCTCACAAATGAGGGCTTGACATTTATAGAACAAAATGTGCAACCGAGCCTTTTTCAAATGTATAAAAATATTTGTAATCTACAGCTAAATAAAGATTAAATGCATTGTTCTCTAAAAAGAAGTTTGGGAATTCGTGTGGTTGGTCTCTCTCTTTCTTTTAAAGAACATTAAATGAATAAAAAAAAAAAAAAATTATTTCTTTCGCAAAAACTAAATCTTTTTTTATAGCCCTTTTTAATTAAAAAAAATAGAATAAATATATTTTTACATTTTTTAAAGTAGAAGCCTCCCTTTTATTCTTTTAAAAATTTAAGTTATTATTAGCAAATAAGAATAAAAAAAAAAAAAAAAAAAAAAAAAAAAAAATTAAAGCAAAAATAAAATGAATAATGAACTCGATTTTTCCCCTTCTAATGTCAAGGATTTTGTATTAATTCAAACTACGCTTAATAATAATCATAACGATGACGAGACTTTTAACAAACAATTAAGTTTATACTCCCAACAACAACAGAATCAAGTTTCGACACCCCCTACATCCCCATTCTTATATGTACAATCTCCCTTATCTTGTGAGACTTCATTTTCCCCTTGTTCCTCAACTTCCTTATCTCCAATCCATACTCCAACTGCGACAAACCATTCATTTCAATTTACCACAAATTCTTCTTTACCTTCTAGTCCGATATTTCCAACGGAAGATACTCCAGATGAATGCTATGAAAGCGTAAATGGAAATGATCATGATTTGTCATTGACTATAATGGAACAGTATCAATATAATAACGAATCATTGACATTTTGTCATGAACGATCAAATAATTTTAATACACAGCCAACGTTTAACAATTCGAATCAGGAACAAAAATATTCAAACGACGAATTATTCGAATCGTCTTATGAACGATATAACAATGATAATGATAATAAAGTATCAAATGTTAACCCATACATTCAAAGTAGTAGTAATCATAATATTTATTATCATGAATCAACGCAACAGTTACAATCTCAGTCGTATATATTAAATGCACGATGGCAACAAAACCAATATCACGCTAGTGGACAATTAAAGGTCTCATCAATAGAATGTCAACTACAACATTTAAAACATAAGGATCCGTATGAAGAGAGATATGTAATGGATCCCGGATTTGTAAATTCGGATCTCAATGTGATGAATTGGACTTTTATTAAACCTAATTTTCCTTTAATATTTGATCAAATGTATGATAAAGCCGACGGTTGCTTCTTTTTAGAAGGCATACCCTCCGAATTTATTTTTGACTTTCGTCAGCATTCTGATTTATTAATTGAAGGTAATTTTGTTAATGAAGATTTCGGTCAGGGTTATTAAAAAAATATATAAATATATTTTTTTGTATAGACTATGAAAAAAAAAGTATACTTGTAATTTAAATATAGAGAATTATAGTTTTTATATGTATAATAAGAATGTAAGTTTTTAAAATTTAATATTAAATCATAATACGTGATGTAAAAAAAAAAAGTTCAAGTATTTAAGTACTAATTTAATGGTTTTTGAACTAAGAAATTTATTTATTTATTTTTTTTTTTTTTGTGCATACATTCTATGCATACCATATTGAGAATAGCATTTTTTTTTTTATTAGAAAAAAAATATGAACTTACCACCATAAAATATTTAGACTCATTAATTTAACTTATAAAAAAAAAAAAACTTTCATTGAAATTTACGTTGGACCTGAATTGTCAAAATTCATCCTTAAAAAAAATTCGACCTCCATGTCTAACGTTCCATTTTAATCATTTACAATTGATCTCATATTGCTTTAAATAAGGAATTAGTTAACTATAAAAATTCAGGAGAAATTGATTGATAATCAGGAAAAAAAAAAAAATTTTTACCCTGCGTAGAAATTTGTCAATGAGGGAAGAAAATTAATTTTCAGATATCATTATTATTTTATATTTTAACCTTTGAGGAATACTTTCATGCAGATTTGTTCACATGTATCGCAATTTCAAGTCATGTGATACGTACAAATTGTCCACCCTTTCATGTCACTACTTGATGTGCAAGCACAACATATTGGGCGCTTGTTAGTAGGGAATCTAGAAATTGTGTCCAAACTTTATTCACTTTTACCTTGATTTTCCCATAAAAACAAATTTTTTGATCACAAATTCATTTCTGAAGAAACATAGATTAAATTAAAACAGTAAAGAATTCTTTTTCTTTATGCACAGATTTTGCAAGAACAGACATCTTGGAATCGATAATTGTTTTTCTTAAAAAGTCCCTTTATTATTTAAATAAGGCTAGAATGCACTTGACAATTAAATTTTAAAAATGCTTTATCTTTTGAATCTATTTTATTGTACTCGATTTGTTCGTCTTTGATTTGACAATATGCTGATTTGTTTTTTCCTGATTGTAAAGGACCTAAATATTGTTTCCTTTATTAGTTATATTTGATTGGTAAGACCTTACACAAATTTAAAATCCAATAAAATCCAAAACTAATACACGACATTCATAAACATTAATCAATCCATTCATCAATAACATCCATCAATAAACAACATATCGAACACGACTTTCCCTCTTTTAGTACCCGGTCCCACGAGAAAAAAATAACGTAATAATCTTCAATACCAAAAAAAAATGGGAGTGTTTCTAGGAAAATCAGGTTCCGAGAAATTTTTGACTAAAATAAAGAGCTTAATACATTTTAATCTAATAACATCAAAAACTAAAATGCAATAAAAATCTCAATTTTGCTAAAAAATTCCCGGAACCTGATTAACCCAAATAATACCCTAACAAAATAACTTGTCATGTGATGCAGATCCGGGAATTCCTATACTCTTTTAATATAAAATATGCATCCAAATTACCAAAACTGTCAATTCGTAATACCCTGATGATTTTTTTTTTTAAAAAAAAAAAATTTCTCCAAAGGAACCTATTAGTTGTGTTTGTCCTTATTTATATGGGGTAGAGATATGTTTGACAAGACTCAGTTTTCGGAGTTGTATGAAATCTCATGTTCCGCAGTATCCCTTGTCAACATATTTTACTTTTTTAAGAAAATTAATTTATATAGATAGTCTAAAAATATTTACCAATCTCTCTTTTTGTGAACCTTAATATAGAAAGCATTACTTTTTTGTCACTCTATAATAGAAATCTTCTTTAAATAGAATATTATTTCGATAAAAAAGAGAAAAAAAAAAAAATTTCATCCGTTTCCTTTTTTTAAAAAAATAAATATTGAATTGTTCGTTTTCTTTATTTTTAATTTTTTTTTCATTCCCCCTTCTTCAAATATTGACCTTCCTTAAAAAGAAAAAAAGAGAAGAAATCTCTTAAATATTTTTAGTTTTTTATTGTTTCAAGATGGCCAAGGGGTCAAATTTAGTTCGAAAGAAATTTTTGCATAGAACTCAAATTTTTGTAGTAGTATTTATAATAATTCTATTGATGACAAAAATTTGCCTTCACATTAATCCCGAATGGGATCCTTTTAAAAGTAAAGGTAACGTATTTTATTCAAAAAAAAAAAAAAAAAAAAATTTTTTTTCGTTATAATTCTTTTTTTTTTTATTCGTTATTATATTTTATCTTACTCATTTATTTATTTAATTCAAAAAATTTTAGGATTGGATGGTGATAATAGTGGCATTACAAATGACAATTCACCAGCCAACAATGACTCGAATATTATAGATGATAATCCATCTCAAGTCATTGAAGAGGAGAACGTCAAAAACGATACTTCTTCACACAACGATCATAACATAATAAACGAAGAAGAAGAGCAAGTGATATCATCTCCAAAGGACGTCCCGTTCACAATTGTAACGGGAGCCAGTGAAAATCATTTTTGCCCTTTAAAAAGTTTTCTTTACACGACGCATGAAACCATAAAAGGATTCAAGAATGCAAAAGTAGTTGTATATGATTTAGGGTTATCCAGCGCACAAATAGAAATCCTTGGTGGTCTTCAAAAGAAAGGTTTCATAACGGAATTAAAAAGGTTAGATTGGTCCAAATATCCTAAATTTTGGAATATATCGATAGCAAGAGGAGAATACGCTTGGAAACCTGGAATGATTTATGAAATATCAAATGAATATCCTGGCAATATAATTTGGCTGGATAGTGGAACTAAAGTTAAGAAATCCTTCTTCAACAACCTTGTCGGATTTTTAAAAGAATATGATGGATTCGTTTCACCAAAATCACCTGGTACCATGAGAACCTGGACCCATAAAGGAGTTTACGAATATTTTCACGATGATCATACGAAATACGATGATTTACCAAATTGTAACGGTGCGGCTATAGCATTTGATACTAAACGTACTCAATCATTAATTGATGCCTGGTATCAATGCGCTTTAGATAAAGATTGTATTGCCCCTCCCGGAAGCAGCAGGCAAAATCATCGTCAAGATCAAGCCTTGCTCACTTATTTTGCTGCCAAAGAAGGCAGGACTTGTGATCAAAACAGAGCTAAATTTGGTTTTCACATTCATGACGATGGAAATTGTAAAAAAGAAATCGCTAAATATGAAAATGAACATGACTACATATAAAACATTTATTTACCAAAATATGTAATTTTTTTTTTTTGTTTTTTTGTAGATAGAAATAATTTTGTAATCTTTTTTCTTTTTTTTCAATCTTTTTATCATGAACATTTTTGTTACTTTAATAAACGGCAGGCTACATACATAAACCACCGCCACATAATCTTTATTTTATTCTTAATTTTTATGTATAATATATATTATGTACGTATATATAATAAACACTCATAATCCATAGAAGTATACAATATATAAAAAGAAAAAAATAAACGAATGAATTTATAAACAATCGTTTAAAATGGGGGATTTGAAATATTCACCAAAAAAAAAAAAAATTGAAAAAAAAATATAAATACGAATGTATAAGCGATCGTATAAAAAAAAAAGCGAAGAACGAAAACTCTGAATACAAATGTATATATTTTCTTTGTCACAAAACGAGTTTGAGGAATATAAAGGAGTGAGAGATATAAAAGTGTAATTTTTTTTTTTTTTTTTACAATTTTACATTTTGATCCCAAGATCAATTAATTAATTATAAAAGGAATTTTGTTTGAGGTTTTCGTCCGTAGAATCTGAATAATTTAAACGCGGACTCATATTCATCTACTTCCTCTTTAAAATCTTGTATCAATTTACAGTAAGATTCGGAATCCATGCATGAAAATTCTAAAAGCAACTTTTGAAATATTAAAAAAACGGTCTCCCAATCTTCAACGCTTCTTACGCCAACAGGTCCACCTTTCTTTCCGAACTTTGTTACCTTTTCTTCAAAGTGAACATCAACCAATCCGTATTTAGGTAAAAGTTTTTCCAACTCCCTGCACAAATAAACGTTGATACCGCGTTGACTCCATAACGCTACAACTAAAAAAAAAAAAAAATTTTAGATATATATAAATATATATAATTAATGATTCAAGGAAGAGAAATTTTGTTACAAAAGTCGTATATAGATGACTTACATGCGTTATAAAAGGTTGTAAAAGCAGGACCGGGATTAATGATATCACCATAATCCATAATTTCTAACCATCCACCGGGTTTTAAAACTCTCATTAATTCATTGATTACCAATTTCATATGTTTTTCAGGTATATAGGATAATAAAACTTTAACGTGAATAAAATCGAATCTATGATCCGGATAGGGTAAACCTCGTGTAATGTCAACTGATTCAAACGTTGTGTTCAAGGGATGGGTGTCCATTGGATATTGAGGCGCGATATCTATCCCTGTGAAGTTGGATAAAGGGTAGAGTGCAGCCATCTCCAACGACCATAATCCTGACCCACATCCGACATCAAGTACCTCAACCCCACCTAATTTCAAGATTGTTTCAATTGGGGACGAGAAATTTGATCTCCATATTTGCCAATGTAAATAATGCTGTGATTGTAACCTATCAATTTCTTCATCATCATTCGGTAGCATATATCTGTTACAATCCTTTAAATATCTTCTTCCATTAACATATTGATATGATTCATCATTGATACTACTCCTGCCGCTACTACCAGAATCATCATGGTTTTTGTTATTTTTATTCTTGTTAAATTTGTTATAAGAAATTCTGTTACCCATCTTGTTTGGAAACAAAGCTACAAAAGGAATGAAATGAATGTTTAAAGAATGAATAAGTCATAAAAGACAGGAAAAAAAGACAGGAAGAAAAAAAAAATGATTGTGTACAAAGTATGCCTTTTAACTTTTCAAAAACAAAAATTATTTGGCAAAATGAGAACTAAAATTTGAACATTTGTCTCCACTTATATATTTTTTTAATTAAAATCCAAAAAAAATAAGGTTAAAATAGATCTGTTGAGTAAATTACATGTATTGCATTATCATGTTCTTTGTTTTAACCAAATAGTAATTTATGTAATTAAACTTGTTATTTTTTTCATATATTGTACAAGTTAAAAAATTCGTTGTATATTTGATATAATGTCTATAATGTCTATGATATTTCCATAAACATTGTTCTGTCACACAAATCAAAAAAAAAAATATAATTTTGCTTGTATGACATTTAAAAAAATAACATTACAGAATAAATTTTCGATTTACATGTCATTAAATTAAAAATTCTTTACATTGTCTATTTATTGATCGGTGATCAAGAAACGTTTCTCACAAAGTTTTCGCATGATTTTAAATTTTATTTTGTTTATTTATTCAGCGATTATTAAGCGCTTATAAAATTTATTATGACGATTTACAATCATGATTACGATCATGATTTTGTTTCAAGAAAAGGCGAGATCTAATGTCGCGAATTGCATCGAAATGCATAAAATTAAAAAAAGATTTTCGAGATAATGTTAAGAAAGATCTTGATATATCGGATTGTACCATTTTGAAACGTCCTCAGTCCGAACTCTCTAACCATTGACTATAATTAGTACTTCATTCCAAAACTACATCGATTTGCATGTATGTAAATTTATTGCTTCTTTTGGTAAAATCACCGTGAGAAGTAGTTTTTTTTTTATTTTTCCATGAAAAGTTTCAAAGGGTTTGCAAATTTTATTGATTAATCGATTCTGTGACTGACTACAAAAACATCTTTGAAATTTTTGATTTTTCACGGGAAACGGTGCATAAAATAATTTTTTTCACATCGCACAACTTGGGCGGACTGTTTAACGAATAAAAATATAACAAAAATATGTAAACTAATCAGTAGTGAAACAATCCATCCCTCGTAATAATTCATTAATCTATATTAATAACACAAGGAGATTCGGAATATGGATTTATTTTTTTCTTTTTCCTTTTTTGTAATCATGATACATATGTTTATATTTTTTACAACTTGAACTTTCCCAATTAAAACAATTTTCTAAAATAGTACATTCAGCCGGTTGAATATCTAAAATTCTCGAAATTCTCTTGATGAGAAAGAATATCAAGACAAAGTTTTTAAAAACAAAAATAAAATGATTTCTTCTAACCAAAAAAATAAATGATTAAAAAGTTCAAAAAAATAAAATAAAAAAAAAATAAAAAAAAAAAATACAAACAATCTAGTTGAATTTCAAAATTATTTGAATTTCAAAATTACCAATGACGAAAACTTCTTTGGGACCGCTTCGTTCCAAAAGTTTCATTAGCCGATTATGGAAAATCCGGCGCGTTACAATTGGAAGTTGACGTCATTTGCCAACGAAATGGGACACGACCTTTTTAAATAATGATGCCATCAAATCAAGTGTGATAAAGTGTATATTATTTTATTTATTTTATGATTTTCGTGTTCAGTCTTATTATCAACGCAATTTAATATTTTGATTAAAAATATTTTTTAAGAATGTAAATAAAATAAACAGCCAATTTCTTTTGTTAACATAGTATAAATAAAGTATTGAAACATCAATAAAGTATCTCGTGAATTACACAAATCAAATATGCTAGAAAGTTATATTAGAAATAAAATCCATTTGCTATTTTTGAATTAGATTGATTGTTATAGTTATCTCTAAAAATATTTTGTCAATGGTTTAGTATATAACACTCACATAAAGATTCAAAATAATTAGTGATCTTTGCAATAGAAAGGGAGGAACTGCCGGGAAAAATCATATTTGCCATATAAAATTAAAATTGATTTTTTTTGCAAAGGTCCCATAGATAAAACCTTCTTTTTAATTAATATATAATTTTTGGACATTTCGAATGACATTTGACTGAAATATTTTCTGAAATCATACAAAAACTTTGGGCCCATACCGAACCTTTAACCATGTAAATTTTCGACGTATATTTGACAATTAAAATAATATTTATCCCCTGTTTAGTATCATTTACACAATGATATGAGTATTATACCTACAAGGTTATATAAGATTAATCGCAACATTATTTGTATTTAATAAATTTAGACATAAAATTGATTGAATCTTTATTTTTTTTCGTTTTAAAGGAATTGTAATCCGGAAAGTGCATCCCTTGATGTTAACGGTTTCAGAAGGATTATCTTAAAAATGAACTTCAATTTCCATATCATCTAATTTTTTTATTTACTTAGTAACAATATCTAAACATCATTAAAAAAAAGTAAAAAAATAAGATAACAATAGTATAAATTAAAAAATAAATAGTTTCGCACATTAATCTATTCTCTTCTTTCTCTTTCTCTCTCTTAAAGATCAATATAATGTTACATTAATAATAACCAGTTTGTCAAATTCTTTATCAATTCTTTTATTTATAAATCAAAGTCTTTAATATGACAAATTACTTTTAATATTTAGCTTATTCAAATGTTGTGTAAAATATTAATTTCCTTTTTAATATCTCAAATATATGATTAAATAAATAAAATAATCAATAATAGTTTTAATAAAATCTTACTTTTTAGATTTTTATTTGATCTAAAGTTAAATATATTTTTTTATTATTATAAAATACATCTTCAGTTTCAAATATTATCAAATAGAATTGTATGTATAAAAAAAGTTTAATATAAATTAAACAGTTTAAAAATTTTATAATATTCATATCTTTTAAATATCTATATATTATAAAATCTAAGATTTTTTTTAGATTATTAGCAATATTATATTTTTTTAAAATAAATTAAAACTGATAATTTATATATTTTTAAAAATAAAAATTACATAAGCTGGTTTTTGAATTAGATTGATTTTATTTTACTTAAATCTATTATAAAATAAATTAAGTTAATTAAAATCAGATTATATATTATAAGAATAAAACTATCTAAATATTTTATTTGACTATATGGGTTCTTTGTAATAAAAAGAAAGAAAATTACCAAAAAAATATTTTTTACTTTATAAGCTAAATATTTTTTTTTTTTTTTTTTTGTAAAATAAGTTCAAATTTAACATTAATCAAAAAATTTTTTTTTTGGTAGTTTTCTTTTTTCTATTACAAATAGCCCATATTATATAGCAGTTTTAGACAATCATTCTTAAAATTTTACTAATAAAGTTACATAAAATAATTTTTTATTTAAAATATAAATAATAAAATTTTAATATTTTATTAAATAACCTTAATTAATTATTACTTTTATAATCCTTTTTTTTGATATATTATTTACTAAATTATTAATTTTTTAGATTTAAGTTTATATAACTAATATTTTTAAAATATTTATATATATTTTTTTGTTTTTTATTAAAGATTTATGCATTCAGATCCTTTTTTTTAAATATTTTAATAGAATTTAAATCTAAACTTTGAATTTATCAGAAAAATTAATTATTTAATATATATTTTTAAGCTTTACTATCTTGCTAAAAATAAATATTACAATTAAAAAAATAGCGTAATTGAATTGCAACTTATGACACAATTAAATTTTCTTATAATGCAATTAAATTGCAACTCAATTGAAATTTAAAAATGATTATGGAGAACATCTTTAATTTTTGTTATGTAAATTAAAATATTATCATTCTAAAATATATATTTATTTTCATTTTTATTTCAGTAAAAAAATAAAGATAATAGTTAAGTAATTGAAAATATTTTTTATCAATTATTGATTTTTTAATCTATATTAAAGGTCTATTTTTATCTTTATAAAATAATTCTTTATTAATTTAGGTGATTATAGTAACCTTTTTTTATAAAATTTGTATTAATTTTAATTGTTAGCTAAAATTTATAAAGGTTTAATAAGCTTTTAGTTAATTTATTAAGATAATTTTAACTAATATTCTAGTATTTTATAAAGTTAAAATAGGTAGTCTATTACTTAAGTTATTAATCTATATATAAAAATACTTCTTAAGTTTTTTTAATATTTAATTAAATTTTTAATAAATTAATTATTCATTATATGTAATTTTATAATTAATATATAATATTAAATTAATTTATAATATTATAAATAGATAAATATATATAATATAAATAATTTATAATTTAATATGTTTAATATTTCTAATATTTTTATGATTAATATAATTAGTATAATAAATATATTAAATAGATATAATAAATTAAAATAATAAATATATATAATATATATTAGTTTTACATATCTATTTATATAATTAATTTTATTTAAATATGAAATAAACACATAAGTTAGTTTTTAAAATATTAGTTTATTATAATTTTACTAAAAAATCTGATTTATAATCCTGATATACAGTAAATAATCAGAATAATAAATGTAAAATAAAAATTTTAATTTTAATTTTAAAAACTTAATTCTAATTTTATTTCTAATACTAATTAATTAATATAAAAAATAATTTTAAATTAAAATTTACTTTATAATATTATTAATATAAATTAATATTTAAAATTTAATTAAATTATATTTAAAATTATTATTAATTTAACCTAGTAATTTTTTATTTTCTATTATAAAATTATATATAAAAATATATTAAATTTTAATTAATTATAATTAATTATTATTTATATAAAAAATGTAATTTTAATTTATTATTATATTTAAATTATTATAATTTTTATTAAAATAACTTAAATATTAATATATAATTAATATATTTTATTAAATATTAATATTTTATAATAAAATTTAAATTAATTTTTAAATTAATTTTTAAAATTTTTTTAATTAAGTAATTTTTATA